TGTATCCTTGGATACATATTTAAGCCTTAAATAAATAATCTCACGTACTGACCCTCACACTGTAGCAGCTGAGTAGGGAATGATCAGGGAGCAAAGGCATTTTCTCACCTCTTAACTGGAAAATAGTCTTCTGGCAACGATGTAAAGTATGGGACTAACGCTGCTTGCGTACAATGTAAAGCATTTCAGAAATAAAATGTGGGCATTAACTTAATTTTCAAACAAGCCTTTTTAAACTCATATGCAGTGAGAGGTGGGGAAGGTGCACAAATTAATCTCCTGTATAAAAAGCGGACAACAAGTTTTCCAGCTCCCACCTATGCATTTGGTTTGAATTTCTTTCAAAAAGCCATTAGTGATGCTGGTTATATACAATGGGATTAGGATTGAGTGTCATGCTGTACATATTAGGAGGCATTACAGATTGCTGTTGTTTACAGCAAAACAATAGCTAGTTTGGGGAGTCATCAGACCTAGCTAATAAGCATCTTGGTCTTTGCCATAAATTGTTTTGAGGCGATGGTAATGCATAACAGTTCTGTGCTCTCTCGCTTGTGCAGGTTTCCACATCATTTTCCTACCATACGCAGATGACAAACGGAATGTTGATTTTACAGAAAAGGTTCCAGCCAGTCAAGAGCAGGTAGACAAAATGAAGGAAATAATTCAAAAACTCCGATTCAAATACAGGTATGTGGAGATAAATAGTGTGCACGGTGCGGGGGTGGCACAGGGAAGAAAACACAACACTCTTGCTAGCTCTGTTGCATATGTTGTTCAGCTGTGGTGTCCACAAGATGGGATTTTGATGCATTTTGATGCAAATTGCTTCCCTTTGCAGTAGCTTTGTCCAAATTTTATTCTTAATTATTCTGAATACCCAGGCACCACGTGCAGTATGTAGCACGTTCTGGAGTTCTTTATAGAATTGCTCTTGTTCTCTGGGCTGTTGTCATTTGTTGCAGAGGTATCACATTTTATTGTGGTTCTGCCCGTCTATTGCAGATCAGACCTGGATCCTTTAAATTACAGCACTTTAGAGAGAGTAGTTAGGCTTTTTTCATTATAGGTAGGATAAATTTTATGAAGTGCTTTTATGGGAAATATTTTTCTAGGTATGTG